CAACGGTGTGAGGATGCGATTCTGGTATTATTAGATCAGTCGACAGCATTGCCCCCAGGCAGTGGGCATATTGTGAGCATAATGGTATTAATTCTACTTCATTTGCTACAGCTTAGTTGTTTCCTTCACATCAAAATCTGTATAATGAAAAGACAGAGGTCAGAAAGTTTTCCCGTGTACCGAAGTTCCACTGTAGCCATTTGGACGCATATTCCTAAATCACTCTGTCACAAAGGAGAAATTACTAAAAATCAACACAGAATTGTACTTTACCAGTTGCAAAGACTCAGTTGTGCCCCTTGGTGCTGATGCCACTCTGGGTTGTGGATATCTGTGCCACTGCAGGTTTGCACATGAATGGAAGGGTGAGTAGGAAGAATCCACTCACATATATGGAGTATGAAGGATTGGTTTGGTGACAAAATCAAATTTCATTCTAACAATCATATACATGAAAAACAGGTATTTCATCCACCTGTAGCTGTTATACAAAGGGATTCTGAGCTCTCTTCAAACTCTACCATTTTCAGCTACAGCTTTTTTTAACCTAAGGGATTTTTGGACTCAAAAAATCTATAATGCCTGCTGTGTACAGACTTTGCAAAGATTTCTAATGAGCGCAAACTCTTAAAACCCCTCTTCTTTTTTTAGATAAACATATTTGATCTTTCCAGTCATTATCATTTTAACTTGCAAAGTGACATTATGCCAAAAAGAAGGAATTCATAAATTAGTTCCAATTTAGAAAGTTTTCTTGTCATTGTATAAATGACAGATCTTTAAAAAGACGACTTAAAATGAAATGCAATAAAAAAAAATTTCACTTTTGTGGCAGGTTTTTCTTTTCTCTCTCTCCTTTTTTTTTTTTTTTAAGACTGTAAGAATAAAACAATGTGCTATCAAAAAAGAAATGAGTGGTACAAAAAATTACAAATGTACATGGACAGGAAACTCATTTAAATTCTCAGATTGTTTTAGGAAAGCTAAATTTAGTTGGGACAGTAAGAAAATAAAATGTAAGCAGAAAATGCTTTGAAAAGTTAAATTAAATTTTCAACAGAAATTGATAAAGCAGGATTCACATCCAGCTTCTTATTTCAAACCTTGCCGGTGGCTGCAGATATTGATGTTTGGGGCGCAAATCTGCTCAGCTGAATTCTGCAAGAAGGTTGCTAATTATACTACTGAACCAACAAGTTACCCATGCATTTTGGTTTTATTCTCTTTAAGAACTGCAAAGTTTAGATGCAGATTTGGGTTTTGCTTTCAAACATCTTTAATCTTCAGGAGAACTTGACTTGAATTCTTTGAACAGAGTGCATTCCTGTAATGAAAAAGATGCCAAGGTGAAAATAGAGTGGAAGATAATGGAAGACTTCCATCAGTGAAGGGGAGAAAATAAATCTAGGGTTATGTGTGAAGATTTTTACAATAGGAAAGTGTTCTAGTGAGGTACCATTCCAGGCAGTAACCACAGACAACTCGGGGGCTTCTGTGACCAAAATGATTCTGCAGTGGATTCACGACTCCAGCTTGCTCTCAGCTCAAAGTGGGGTTTCTCAGGGGTTCCATGTGCCTCCTCTGGGCTCGTGGATGGCAAACTCATCAAAACACTTATCAATGTGCTCAAATGGAGCCACTTTACCACCAGGTTATTAACCTCTAGGAAACAACTTCCTGACATCTTGTCTCCTGCCAAGCATCCAGAGTTACACACAACCCTTGAACTCCAAGATCTACCTGGCATGATAACACTTACTCCTATGTTTAGTAAGTACATGTTTGGTTATGTAATGCTGATATTTTCCTGCTCTGCTTTTTTATTTCTAGGTGTCTTTTCTGAAAGTTTAATAACTTCCAAACCTACAATTAAAATTAAGTTAATGGGGGCTCTGTTCAACATCTCAGGTTTGACTATTTCTTAGTGTGTTTCCATTAATATTTTTAGCTTAATTTTTAAGCAAAAGAATTTTAGATGGCAACTACCTACTTTTTCTCACTCATGAATTCATGGTACTGTCTTATGATTCCTACATCACCACACTCTGTGAAAGGCAAACAAATTAATTTTTGAGGCATTTTCACCTTTGGCAGCTCTGTAGAAGCTTCAGTTGAAAAGTAAGTCTTTAGGCAACTTAATTACATTTGTTACAAGTCAGTAGGTAGGAAAATACAATAAAATACTCTGTTCTTTGTATCACAAATAAGTACATAATTCATAGAAAAGTTTCTGTAAGGAGTCAGTGCTACTATCAGCTAAGAGAACACTACTTCACGTGCAGATCTACTGCCATGCTACTGGTCTTTTTAACAGAATCTAAATCTAAAAAAAGAATGGAGAGACAGTCAAGTACCAGCCACAGTGAAAAGTTGGGAAAGACAGCAAACACGTACTAGCCTCTAAAAGAATCTTAATAAAAACTTCAAAAACTGTGCATGAGATGGGACACCTCTAAGGAAATGTTAAGGTGACAAGTATCTCATGTTAGGGCAATAACATAAAACCACATATTATCTGTGGAGATGTTATTCTAGAATAAGCTCAACAAACAACCTAGAGTTAACCTGGTTTTAGAAGAGAGCAGTTTAGATTCTGAATGTGAATGGATCATGAGAAGAAAAAACACTATTACTCCTTTACATCTCCTATATTAACTAGAAAAGCAAGGTCAATCGAAAAAATTACAAAGAATTCCTTCCTTTACATAAGGAAATTCCTTTGACTATGTTGAAGCACACATTTCCCTGTACATTGGATGTACAGGGGAAGATCACCAGAACTGGACGGGAATACCATGACATTATGGGATCAATAATAATCAATTAAATTTTTTGAACTTTAACAGCTGCCAAAGTACAAAGAATTCACAGTCTTTCACAGGTTATAACTTCATTATTCCAAAGGAATACACTCAGAATATGTCTGGTTCCTCAAGCAACCAACTTTATTTCAAGGAGGAAATTTGATTCTGAGTCTACCTAGTACAATTTCAAGACAGTGAAACTGCAACTGATAGAAACTTCAACATGATTAGAATGATCTGTTATCCCCACATACAAACTTCTCTATTTTTCATTTTTACTTGTGTAGTATACCTCCTTTTACTACTCTAATGGCTACATTTAAGGCGGAAAGTGAAATGATTCTTAGGATAATGTTTTAGTGTCTGTTTCACAATGGTTTTTATTGAAGTTGTAAAGCACTTGCATGCACAGAGAAAAGAAGGTGCATTTTAGAAATAAAACTATTAAGTAACATTATCTTGCCATGGATCATTCCCACTGGGATAGAGGAACTATTTGAAAAGCATAACTGAATTAAATTAAAATATGATAAATTTTTATCTCTACGTTACCCTCATTTTCAGCATTGCATGTTGATCAAGAAACTAAAAAAATCATGACTGTTTATGTTTAGAAGCTTTTGCCTGATCATATGTTATACAATAACTTCATATTTTCTCTCTACTATGTATAGTAGGGAACAGATTGAATGTAACAGCCTCCTCCTAGAAATGAGGATGGACATGCATGTTTCCATATCTAATTACCAATATATGGCCCATCATAGCAATCAATATTACACGGCAGAGACAGATGAAGATATGCCTTTGTATATCATGGCAAAGAGAAATGGTCTCCACGTAACAGAATGAAACAACTTCTGACACAAAATCACAGGACTATGTATCCAAAGCAAAATTCACAGAAACAACGCCATGGTAGTTTTTCTGGGGGCCAAGCTCTAAGCACTTTATATATATTCTTTTTTGAAAGCAGACACTGACAGAGACCATGGAGATATGCCTATTAATTATCTTGAAAAGGTTGTTTGCCAATTCTTTCCAAAGAAGACAGAAGCTGTCTTCTTTAATGAATACATATCTTAACAATAAATACAATATAAATACAAACACAATATTATTAATAACAAATTAATAGTTAATTGAGAGTTAAATTAGTAAATATTTCTGAAATACAGGCCCCATATCCATTTTGCAGGTCACTGGATCCTATGTGTCATCTGCACACAGGAGATTAACAATGCCTTTTGAAGTATATTGGTTCTTCTATCACCCTTATGAGCACTGCCTCATATAGAAAAGTAATATTACAAACCAAGTACACAGTAGGGAAGCACCATTTCTGCTTTGCAGATGGCCAGCTGAGACATGAAGAAATTAAGTGATTTTTCCAATGTCAAACAAGAAACCTGCATCAGAATGGAGAAAATCTAGGCCTTCTGAGTCTTGGCTGATTTCCTGAACAATCAAACTATTCTTCCGTTCTGGCATGAATAAAACTCTGGTTGCAGATTGGATTGGTGAAAGCATCAGTTCATCATGGGATGAAAAACAAAAAAGAGAAGAACTATCCGACACAGTACAATATAATCTGTACAGCAGTTTTCTTCTCCAAAATTATACCCCAAAATCTCATCTGAAGTTAAATAACACAGTAATTAAAAAAAAAAAAAGGCAGAAGAAAAATTAAGTATCTTAGACAAAGAGAAAAAGATGTTTCAACTGAGGCATGAAAATAAATGTAGATAATAATTACCACTTATGCAATGCTTTTTATCTTCAAAATGCTGTATAAATATTACTTTAAAAATCTTCACAACACCTCACGAGGTGGGAAAATATTAAGCATAATGTAATAAGTTACACCCTCATATGATCTAAACCGATTTTCACTCTAAAAAACCAAGGGGAAAAAAAGGTTGAAAGGCTAAAAGAGTTTATTTAAAGCACCTGAGCTAGCCACGTTCTACAGAAAAAGTTACACTGCCATCTAAGAGGACTGTAGTTCTCACAGGCATACATGAGCCAGTTTTAATTAATCCAGTACAGACTCAGCAAAAGCACAGCAACCAGGGTTCAACAAAGCCTATCCCAGACTCCAGGCAGATCCTGCAGGATAGTTAGCCTGGATCACACTCAGTACCACGGGGTCACTCGCAGGATACAAGTTCCCTCATTAAAAGCTGACCTGAGTACCTTGTACAAAGGGCCGTCATGGGGCCAGAAGGGAGCACAGGCAGATCCAAAGCTGGACTGGGACTGTAGGGCTGGCTCCGAAGTTTTCTCCTTTAGCTCAAAGGCATCCAAGCAGGCACGCACAGAGAGGCTATTTCACACATCATGGAGCTGCAGTGGAGATGGAGCTTTTCCACCTGCAGAGCCTGCCAAAATAATGTAAAAGGGCAAAAGGGAAGGTGGTAAGTCTAATCAAAGACAATGTTTTGAGCTGAATAAAACACTTAACTGCATGGAAAATTCCATTAGGTTGATTAGATACTTGCCTTAGGGCCCTCTTAAAACACCTGTTAAAAAAAAAAAAAAAGATAGCTATTGCAACGCGGCTTAAAAATATTGGAAAAGCAGGAAATGGAGCTTATTAGAGTTCAAATTAGATCCAAGATTTATGTGAAGAACATTTGGCCTCTTTAAAAGGCCTGGTTAATCCCTAGATGGTTTTTATTGTTTCTATTATTATTATTTATTTATATAGTGCCATAGGTATACATGGCACTTTACAGACAAATAAAAAAAAAAAACACGGGTCCTCCCCCAGAGAGTTTACAACACCTGATCCGGCAAAGAGTTAAGTACATGAGTAACTTCATTTGCAGGACTAACCTCTCTTGGAACCAATGAGATTTTTCAAAAAATCAATTTATTGACATGATTATCTCTTCTAGGTCAGACCCTCTTGTCTCAGACATTCAATTTTAAGCTACAGGTGTAGAACCCAGTTCACAGGAATAACCACCTGAGTTGTGCTACCTTCTGCTCAGCAAATCTTACAGCAGGATTTTGTTGCACCTTATGTATGATAAAGATAAGCCAAAGCAATGAAGGGGGGAAGCTAAACAGTTTTTGTACCATTAAGTTTCCTTCAGTGAAAGTCTTTTACTAGTATTTGTAATATTTTCTCAATTGAGGCAGCAAAATTAGTGATTGGGAAACAGTTCCATGACATGGCTTAGTGCAAACCAGGGAACTGTGTGTTGTTTGTGTCCCTTCTTACTACACATGGTGTGACAGGGCTGGTTCCTCAGAGATGACTGGCCAGAGCTCTCCATCTGCACTCTGAAACTACTGAATTTCAACTTTACAGCACATATACTGTGCTTCAGGTATAAACCTGAAGTAATATTTTATGGAAGTGCTCTTTCTTATTTTACTTTGAAAAAGAAGCACTTCTGGTTCCCATCAAAGATCCCACAATACTGTTGTGTTTTGTTTGGAAGATGAGGGGATCCTATTCTCCCCCTTACTGTCCTGATACCCCTATTTCTGTGAATGGAAAATTGGAGCTACCTCAAGCCACTTCTCTTTTGGAGGCTAGTAATGACTACTCCAAATGTGCAACCCTATTTGCCTGCATATAAACTTTTAATAATGTTCATTAAACTTTATTACAATTGTTCGTGCAGCCAGATCAGGCTTACAAATTAAAAGCTCAATCCTGCAAAGACTTATGGAGCTCTATTCATGCAACCTAAAGGAAAAATTTCTCTTTCTATACTCACACACTTAAACTGAATTTGAAACGTAAATATGATGCTATTTATTTTCTTAGCCTCTGGTATTAAGGTTAAAAACATACAGTCAGGAAGAAATTATATGTTACTGGTGCATAAAAAAAGTAAACAACTCCCCAACCTTTTTGAAATTGCATCTTTTTAAAAATCATCATCATATGGGGAAAACCTTTATGTTGCAACAGACTTGGAGAAGTCAATGAAAAAATGAGCTGTGACTGTAGGCACATAATGATACACAAAAGTCCTGGCCAGAAGAGACACTGAAGTCTGTAGAAGTTCTGCAATAAACTTTACAGGCAAAAGGATCAAATCAAATCTACAGAGCCTGATATAAGAGTCCAGTGAAGCCAGTAAGAGTTTTCCCATTGATATGCTTTGAATCAGATGCAGTGACCAGCAGAACTGCAGGACTGCAGGTAAAGAAGCGGCCATAAAACCCAGGAAGAGTTTTTAAAGAAAAGAGAAATGAGTGTCATAAAGCCAAGGTCAAACTGCATCACCAAATACATGTGAAAAAATTATATCTCTTTTAGGTCTAATTACAGTATTTGTGATTATTTATCTGTCTTGAAACAAAAGGTAAATTAATCCATTTATTTTAAAAAGCATGTTTTCATTACATTGAGTAATTTCCTTTGAAAAAGAAAAATATTTCCTAAGCCCACTAGCAGTTAAACCTGGTTTTTTTTTGTTTATATCTGAGATGAGGCTGCATATCATTATTCATGCATAATCTAAATCCAAATGACTCCTTGTTTACTATTTGTTTTGTATATTTTCTTATGTAAGCCAGAATGGCATGGAAGAAATATGCTGTATTGTCTTTTATTACATATCTTTGGAATGTGCCATACATCATCTTTAACTCTGAGTGACATTCAAAATAGCCTGAGGAAAACAAATAAATACACATATAAAAAAGGACAAATACACTGATAGGAAAATCACATAAGTACAGGCTTGCATATAGGTACATTAAGCACATGTAATATAAACAATGAAAATCATAACCTGACCCCAAATTTTTGAGTAAGCATTAAAAAATTACTTAAAGTTTATCAGGCTTGGGTGATCAGCAAAGTCAGGGTAGTGACAGAGTCACGGCTTGTTCTCTGACAGCAACTAGATGACAGAACCTCAGACCTTCCATTTCGATCTCTGCCTGTAGGAAGACCCCATCACAATTAGTTTCCTCTTCTCTAAATACTAGCACCCTCCAGTGTGCACACCCAGTAACATACACCCCATCCTTGCTCAGCGAGATCCTCCTGCAACGGCTGGGACCCTCCGAGCCCGGACACCGATCGTGGAGGAGCAGAGGTTTTCACAGACACCCAGGACTGCACCCTGTCAGACTGCAGGGTTCAAGGAATGATGGAACTCTATAAAGACGTGGCAGTTCTGATAGTCAGAATAATTCAGATGAGAAATATTGTGAAAATTTTGAGACTTGCCTGCGGATCCACCCTTTCCTACCCCACCAGGTTTCCTATCCTTGCCCTCATTTCCTCCACCTGCAATTTCTCTTACACATTTTCAACCAGTTTTACCAGACCACCTTGAATCAATATAACCTACTTGATTCTTTTCCTTTTGACTTTGTCATACTTTTTCACCATGGTGAGTCACACAGCCTGCAGCCTTTCATCACGTGTGGGCAGGCAGCTCCCCTGAATTCCTTACTGTCAGCTGTGAGGAAAAAAGGACAAAAGTGTTTTCCCCCCCACAGGTATAAAACATTGTAGGTGAATTTGGAATATAGTAAGATTCAAAAGGTTATGTCCCATGCAACCAATTAACATGTATTCCTGAACCTCTTATTACAACATAGTTCTGCTATTTGTTTTTGTTTTTGATTTTCACTATGGAATGACAGGAAAAATATTAATTTTCAGAATGCTAGACTATTTCTCCTCCAGTAGTTAATAATACTGTTTCTTTTTCTTTTAGCTTTAGTCATAATTGCTTTCCTCTCTCAACAGTTAGATTGTTTCTATTTATTTTTACTGTGTTTTTTCTTTTTAATATTTGTAGTTGTCATTGATTGCTGCCTACATGTAACAGTATATTTTTGTGGCCTTTTTAACAAGTTAAATTTCACATGGTCTATTTTTCCAAACTGTAATTCTGCAAAAGTAGGTCTCATATTCATGTACAGGAAAGATGAAATGGATATAATAACTCTAGAGGTAGTGGCTGGGTTGTAAAGTTTGACCTTATGAAAGAAGTAATGTGATGACCGTTGGAAACTAGGCTGTTGGAGGTCCATGGTATTTTAGAGCCTGTTACAGTGTCCCTCTGAATCCTGCTCAGAGATATAAAAGCTGTCTAACTTACAATTAAAATTAAAGCCTATTCCTACTAAACTATCCAGAGAGTCAGATTCTAAGGGCAGTTGTGACTTAACAAAACTCAGGTCACAGTCATCTTTGTGGAAGAGATCTACATACCGCTTTTCCATTTCAGAATTTCTCTTTCAATCTGAAGTTTAACAAGAAATAAAAGATTTTATAGAAAATTTGTTTACAATTAAGAGAACATACTTGTCATCTAAATGTGTGATTTACATCACTATAGGTTTTGCCAGTGGCATCTTCCCATGTGCTAAAACTAGTCATATCTTCCAGTGAGTACTGCAGAATTTCAAAGGCATACATGTGCCCAAATTCTGCAAAGGAGCCACCTAACATCTTTCCCAATGCTGACAAATCTCATATGATTTTTTTTAACTGATAGATTAGCTTCAATACACAGAGTCTTAAGTAATACAGCTGCTTTGAAATCTGTACCTTTGGTATGTCATGTACTTCATCAGGAACAATGATGCAAGGTGTTTACCACACTTTATAGCCAAACTTGGCCCTAGAGGTGAATCTGAGTGTTACACAGGTGTCTCTCAAGGCAAATCAGCTATATATAAATCAGGAAAATCACGCAAAAAATATAAGAAGAAAACATCCCCAAGGAGCTTACTAATAGGTCTTTGCAAGCTGTCTTCTGTTTTCAGTTCCAAATGGCAGGAATGTTCAACTGAAAAATGTACCTCTTTTCAATTAAGGCACTCTTCTGTGCTCCTTTTCCAGTGGTTTAACTTCACTGCAGCAGAGACAGGTTGGATGAGAGCAGTGAGAGGTGACATCACATCTGTCTGACTCCACAAGGTTACAAACCAGCACACTAAGTACAGCTGAATGGTCAAAAAATAAGCAGAACTATGCTTTTCCAACATCAATCACAAGCATTCCAGCCCTTGGAAAATTCTCCTTTAAAGTAAGAGTAACTAATTTCATATTCTTGGTTTTTGTACATGTTAATACCTTTTATAGGTCCTTAGAATGAAAAGTTCTTTTAACCTTTTAAGTTTTAATGTGTCATATGGCTTTAATAAATAGCTTGTAAGGTTGTTTTTTTCACCTATTTTTCTCCTATTCACACCATACATACTTCTACATATTTACATCTATTATAAATGCTGTGCCTACTGTGTCCATAAATTATAAAGGATTGTCCATATTAAAGGTCTTCTACTATGTTTTATTTAATTTCACTGATTAATACTTTCATTCACTGACCACGTACTGACCATGACTTTGAACCAACTTTTTTATAATTTTATTTTTTATGTG